GTGATTCAACAGATTCAGTAGAATCTTGTGATGTTGACAAATCTGAAATTCGTCGACCGAAGTGGAACCATTGTCAATTAAATTGTTATGAAGAATACAGCAGACAATAAACCAACCACAGCATAATTTATGATTTTTGTTAGACAGACGCACCTGCTTATAGCTTCAAATGTTTTTCAGAAGGCCAAAACAATGCTCTACTCTAACCCGGTATTTTTATGCCGTAAATGAAATGCAATTTGACGTTTCCTTCAACTGTTTTGTGTTGTTTCTGTAGTGTTATTAACGTTCCAGATAAGATGTATGCCGAGTCAGCAATTCAATGCTGTGAAGAAAATACTGCTATTTCGATATATACGGGCATTATGCCAGCTCCGAGGGTGACCAACCACAACATGTTGAACTACTCGTTTGTAGTCACAACCTAATTTTGCTCTTATTGAATAAATGTGATTTCTGGAAGTATGATGTATGATCTTTAATTGGCGATTCTGCTCATTTAATCTCAGTTCCATCAATATATCCGATACAAAACGGCTGCTCGTCAAAGATATCCGATACTGTTTTCGATTGTTTAATCTCATATTGCCAATTTATATACTTAGATGCACAAGAACACTCTTAAGATTCTTTTGTTATTATAGATATAGTTTGCAATCTCCACTCTAAAATTGTTGCGATTTTCTATATGCTGCACTTTCTCCCCACGAACCAAATCGAAACATTGTGAGTGGTAACAATTCAAGAAAATTGCTTACAAGAATCGCTTTGTTGAATTTCTAAATGTTTTCAAATAAATCAAATAGCATCTTATATTGATCTCTATCTACTTAACATCAAATATTGTTGCAAAATGTCTGCTTAGCTATTGTGCTGTAAAATCTTCGACGAATTTCATAACAGATAAATTTCAGCAATTAATAAAACATCACCATCATCATCACATTCGATTTCTAAAAGAAAATTGTTAATATTGAAATTCCGCATACACAGATATGTATATTTCTTACCTTCAATCCATAATTTCTTCAGCAGTTGCATCACTAAAACGTCAGCAAATTTTCCCTACAACTTTTTCGGTATGTTGTCCAATTTGTGTGAAAGTTTTATTTACAAACAATGTTCTTCTTTACCAATCAGCTGTGAATTAATGGTTTGAAACATGCATAAATTGCATAATTTTGCAAACTCAGATGCACAAGATTTTTAATGTATTACCTCTAAATTAAATGTTTTTTTTTTATCATTTTCAATTGAAAATTAATACTACGAAGCATGGCCTCACATACATTTCAATTTCGCGTTTTCTTTCTTTTCAATTTCATTGTTTTCCAATTTCTTTTTAGTGATCTTCAACAGCGGCAACAAATCTTTCTATTCACATTTTTTTGGTAGGATTTCAATCTGGCCGTCTCTTTTTCAATTGCTAAATGTCAAAACTAACTGAACTCAGTCCGACAAAGTTCAGTAGGTTTTGACGTTTAGCAATTGCTCTCTCATTTCCAGTGAGAGATGCGTTGGGCATCCCTTTATCTCTCATTCCTAGACTAATGAAGAGCGCGGCAATGTGGTCGCTAGCATAAAGAGACGTGCTAGTTTAGTTCAAAAACTCAGTTGACACACTTTGTTTTCTTACAAAGTAACTTTGTGCAACGATCAAATTCAAGCGACCGTCAAAATCATTGATCACTATAATAGTAATTCAATATTTATTTTATTATGTTTTTTTTTAAATAATTTTGCTCAACCATCGATTTTGTTGATTTCGTCGATTTGCAAACATATGAGTTCAATTAACGTTGTGCTGAGTCAAGAACTATAACATTAGTAATCACTATTAATAGTAGTAATATTTGAGAAACAGCAGGACTTGTTAACCAGCAATCGGGGTGAAAGCTTGAATTTTTATAAATTAAAGAAATATATAAAAAAAAATTTAAAAACTCTCGCGTATTATACACAAAAGTCGCGCAGTCAGTAAACTACGCATTAATCAAAAGATTAATATGTGTAAAACAACGTCGATAATTTTTTATGGTTACATCAAAATATACTATTAACAAGTGAACCAAGTGAATCCTTAAAAACAAAAAAAGGAATGACGACATAATCTTATCAACCTACTCACTTCACGGACTCAGAACTGATAAAGGAATACAATGGAAACCATTTGCCACTACAACGAATTATCTTTGAGCGTTAGGAGAAAAACAAGATCCAAGGACCAGCTCTTTATGCAATAAGGACGCTAGGAAAAGAATCTACAAGGACAGATATTAAAGAAGAGCTGATTAAAAACTTCGGAGTAAAGGAAACCTATTACAATTTGTACCACCAAGCAGTAAACTTGAAAAACTGAATAATGTAAACAATTATTTTTATAGTCTAAGAAATATTTTAAACAAATTAAACACTCAATATGAACAAGGCAATAATAAACTTTCAGAATATAGGCCTTCAATAAATGAATCACTTATTTAAAAAAAAATTGTAAATGGTATTGAGCCAAGCCTAGTATTTTCCATATTAGAGGAAACAGGTATGGTAAAAAGATACGCCAGTAGCCCTAACATATAGAACAGGTTTATATCAAACAATAGATAACAGTCACAACCCTTACTCCCCGGATCCTGATAACATCATACCGGCGCAACTACAGCGTACGGTCAAGATGTCATGCAGCTGGCTGGCCCCCATCTACGCGAACTGTGTTAGATTGGGCCATGTCCCGAAGGCTTTTATTCCGAAGGCTGGTAAAAGCTCTCATGTCGGTACAAATGATCTCAGACCAATCAGCTTATCCTGGTTTCTGTTGAAAACGCTGGAGACTTATGGATCTGTTCATTAGAAGCAGAATACCGAGGGGTAAACTGTTACGGGCGCAACTCGTGCGCTACTGCGAGATCCTTCTGGCCGAGAGTGGATGGCAGGAGGTCGAGAGATCTTCTCGCCTTGAATAAAGTTCATCTCGCCGCTATGGTAGGAGTTGTCACTGGGCACTGTCTAATGGGAACGTATGCAGTGCGGCTCAGAACACGATGCTAGAGCTAGACCAAAATATTTTAAAGCCCCTCTCAGCAATTATTATATATATATAGACTTATTCTTTGAAGAGGGTAATTTGCTAACTCATACACACGAAATACAACATGACATAGTAACCACAACTGATAAATCAATATGTTCTTCAATATATAGACATCCTCAAATCCACGAAGATTAAATTAATAAACAAATGAGGGATATGATGAGGCAGGGTATCATTAGAGAAAGCACATCTCCCTACAATTCTTCATTTTCCACACCACTTGGACACTATGAACTATCCGAATGCCTTTTGGGCTCTTAATTTCTGTATTAGGGAAATATATAAATAAAACATGTGTCGTTTATTTCGACGACATTCCTAATATTTAGTAGCGCAATACAAGACCATAACTTAAAAATTCAAATCGATAAATGCAATTTCTTTCCTAAATTCACAGAATATTTTGGGCATATTCTAACCCAATCTAAACAAAATAGCAGCAATCAAATTTTAAAATTATCTGAAACCCCTAACAAATCAAGTATTTTCTTGGTATCACAGGATACGAAAGAAATTATATGAAGTACTATGAAAAAATTGACAAAGTTCCTAAACAAGGACATTAAGTTAAAAAAAATGACCCACCCCCCATCTATTTATATATTATGCAATATATAAGTTGAAACGAATCCTAATTGATATACCGATTCTCCGTTATTCCAATTTTAAGAAAATATTTGAATTGTGTACAGATGCAAATGGGGTTGCGATTGGAGCAGTTTTAACACAATATAATCATCGAATATGCTACTCTAGTAGAACACTAAAAGAACATGAAAAAAATATTCCACCACATAAAAGGATCTTTTATCTGTCGTATGGGGCATTAATTATTTTAGAACATTCGTATATGACAGAATCTTTGACCTCACGACTAAATATAAAGAGAAAGATATAAATACCAGATTGCAACGTTGACTGCTTAAGCTAGGTGAATATGATATTAACAGTGGATATATCAAAGGAAAAGATAACACTTTGGCCGATTTCCTTAGTCGATTGAATGCAGATACTGGAGAAATTTCAGCAATAGAATTCTGAAAACATTAACAAAAGACAAAATAAGCAAATATCAACTATACATTCTCAACAAGAGTAAAATAATGACCACTTTATTATACTCAGTTATTCCTTTTCATACACAAATTATTCTAACAGAAAGCAAAATCAGAGAAATCGAAATTATAGGAAAAAAACGAAAAATATACATATATGTTTAGACGACTAAGAAGCAGATTTATGCCCGACATTTTTAGAAGATTTGTTAAAACAGAAAAAGTAGGCATATACGAGTACTCAATTAAAACTAATAGAAATGTTCGATAATAACCATACAATTTTACAAATGCACAAATCATGCAAAAGATATGAGAAATGAAAAAGAATGTAAGTTAAAATGGATTATTGGAAATTATCAGGGACTAAAAAATTTAATTTATTATTGTACAAAAATCTAAAACATCTTACCCAAAAATACTTAATAACTACAATGTTTGTTGTAGAGCCAAATACGATAGACGACCAATCACACCAAAATATAAAATATTATAACAGAAACACCTAAAGATATAAATGAAATAATTTATATGTACACATATGTACGTTATAAAAAAGCATAGTTTCTTTACGTTCAGAGATATATTTCCTAAACAAGAAACTGCCATCTATGCTATTTAGAGGACAGATCCAGCATAATCATAATAGAAATAATCGTTTATATTTCTCCTTAAAACCAAAGCCAAAACGCATAAAAGCTGATAACGAATTTAACTCAACAAATGTAAAGGATTTCATGAGTAGGGAAGAAATACAAATTAATTTTACAAAACCTAATTTACTAATCACAACACTGCCAATGCGCACATTGAAAAATTCCATAACACTTTAGGTATATAAAGACACAGAACGGTACAACAAATTCATACTCTCAACCACAAGAAATAAACCTATAGATATTTCCAACGGTAATTTTTATAAAAATAAAATATTCGAACGACTTAACACAGTAACGAAAAGCTTAATACTAGAAGAGAAAATTACCAACACACCGACCGGGAAGTGTATGTGAAAACTATAAAGCTGTTAGACACAAGTAAGAACCCAGATACAAAAAGATGCTACGTCGAGCAAATATTAAAATAACTACTAAATTTTCAGGTAAAGTCGATAATAACGATTACAACAGTAGTGACATTTCTGATATTGAGCAACGCGACCTTGATAGTGTAAAACGTTCATGGTGTAAATGGTTTCGTCGAAATTTTCCTCGAAAACGTAGAGATAACATGAAATTACAGCACAATATTACATATTATCGACCGTTTAGAAATCATAAAAGTTACCGAAAGTCTTGAACACAATATAGAACAAATCATAAATAAGGTTAAATCGAAGTAAGTAACATTAGCCCACCCAACCAACGAAAAGGACTAATTAGTTTTCCCACGACAGTCGGGTCTACGTAACCGGAACGGACCCGGATTTATTCCGGCCAAGGACTGTCAACTCGGTAGAATTCTGCCGCTACAACAACAACAACTAATTAGTTTTATAGGAACGGGTATGAAATGGCTATACGGTACAATGGACGATAGTAATAGAGAAGAAATATAAATACTGCTTCAAACAATTGACGAGAATAACCATGTAATAATATAAATTAAAATATGGGTATAAGTAATGTATTTATTGTAACAATTTTAAAACTCAAAGAAGCTATAGAAGGGGATAGAAAAAAATTTACAAGAAAATTTAATGAAATTCTTGAAAGTGATCAACAATTGGAAAAAAATAATGTATCTCGATACTCTGTTAAAAATTAAAATCTTATTAGACAATGTTGAACACATACAAAATAACCTTCATTACAATATAGATTTATATCAAATACAAAATACTAAAGTTAGCACAGCTCTATATATAAATAATATAATGTTATACAAATACCAAATGAAATAAGTAAAGTAAAAAGATCCTTATTTATACCAATTCCAAATGATAAACCAAAGAGCATTTGTTTGAAATGTAAGAAATTATAAAAACTAACGCAAGTATATATTATTATAATAATGAATCCACAATGAAGTTTAAAAACATTACAATAATGCATATTCCCAAAAACTTGTATGAAAATTAAAAGCCATAAATTGGCAACTAAAGAAATACGACCAGGTTTGTTAATCCTGAAAAACCATGTCAACGCAGTAGTTAATAACACATGTAATGAAAAATTTATAATATAAAAATCAAATGCTTTAATGACGTTCAATAATTGTAAAATAGAAATAAGTGGAATAATTGAGGAACTAAGATTTCATAAAAAAGTCAATTATACTTCTACTTTGACCTGCAGTGTCATAACTTTTAACATTGACATTTCTTTGTTACTAAAATAAAAAAAGTAAAAATAACAACGCAGAAATTATTATAAAAACTGAAGAGAGTTTTCAATCCAATGAAGGACGGCATACGTCAGCTTCCCGTTCTAATGAGTCGTTAAATTCGCGTCCAATAAACTGGAGCAAATAATAAACAAATACAAGGTACAATTCAAAAGTTCCAGGACTTTTTAAACAAGGCGGCTTCTAGTGGCGCAATCTGTCTAAAATTGTTATCCCTCAATTGTGTAGTCTTCAGTGTTGTCGTATAAAATTTATATAACCGCTGACTTGTGTAACAGCTGAGACATCGCGCTACATGTGACATTACATTTGTAGTGTCGGTCGGAAAATGAGCATCGAACGAACAGCCAACATTAAGTTTTGTTTCAAACTTGGTAAAACTTTTACCAAAACTCATCAAATGATGAAACAAGTTTATGGCGATGATTGTCTATCCCGTAACCGCATTAATGAGTGGTTTAAACGTTTTCAAGAGGGACGGGAGGACTTGGAAGACGACGAACGTTCGGGCCGGCCAAAAGATGTTTTGAACGAAAAAAACACGAAAATTGCGCGTGAATTCATTAAAAAAGAGCCGAAATCATCGCTTAAATATATGGAATCGGAATTATCAATATCCGCAGTGTCGATTTATCAAATTTTGATAGAAAATTTGGGCCTCAGAAAGGTTTGTGCTCGATTTGTCCCGCACACTTTGAAACAACACGAAAAAGACCTCAGAATCAGACAGATTTTTTGACCAAAAATCGCATTCATATCATCAACCATTCACCCTATTCGCCTGATATGGCACCCTGCGATTTTTATTTGTTCAGAAAACTACATTTGGCCATGAAAGGAAACCGCTATGCTGACGTTGATGCCATCCTCAACGCTATACCGACAAATGACCTAAAAAAGTCATTCGATAACCTTCTTGAACGTGCAAAACGTTGTATTCAGGCGGAAGGAGGAGGATTTTGAAGGTGACCAATAAATTTTTCAAAAAAAAAAAACAAATAATATTTGTTTTTTAATAAAAGTCCTGAAACTTTTGAATTGCACCTTGTACTTTCAATTATTTACACAACGAAATTATACAACGATCAAATTCATCGATGGTCGGGTTCAAAAACTCAATTGACACATTTTGTTTGCTTACACAGCAACTTTGTGCAACGATCAAATTCATTGTGTTGTTGACACAACAGTCAAATCCGTTGATCACTGCAATAGTAATTTAATATTTTATTTTGCTTATTTTAATAATTTTGTGCATCGGTCGATTTCGTTGACTTCATCGATTTGTAAACATATGAGTTCAATTAACGTTGTGCTGAGTCAAGAACTATAACAATAGTAATCACCATAAATAGTAGTAATATTTTCGAAACAGCAGGATCAACAATCGAGATGTAAGCTTGAATTAAAGAAAAATATAAAAAAAAGTAAAAACTCTCGCTTATTATTTACAAAAGTCGCGCGTGGCCTGGGCGTTGATTTCCTAGAACTTTACGTTTAGCGACGGAAGTATTGCAAATGTATGGTTAGCTATTTTGGCAAAGTAAATTCTAAAGAGTAGGCTAAACGCGTCATTACGTTTATTCTCCCGTTTTCTCAACTTGTGGGGGATTCTTTGTCCGTTGTTTGGATACCAAATAATTGTTGGGTTCTCATAGAAATCTTTGAAGAATTATTGGATGGCCTTACTATAGGAATTCGAACCGGTCGGTTCATATAATTAATTCTTCGTGAATGTATTGAGGGGTCCACCTACATCCGAACTGTTGACTACGGATTGGTTGGCCTGGGTTGAGTCGGCATGACTTTGAATGTTTTCTTTTATTATAAATTACATTTTTTCGATAAGGTTTAATTACTTTTGTACAAATATCTTTATTTATTTTTTCGTTTGATTTTTTGCCTTTGATTTGATATATTCCTTGTAGATTCAATAAATTTTTAGGGTCATGTTTTGTATTTCAATACGTATGCTTTGGGGAGGTCCTCGGGCCGTTGGATGACAATTCATGATTCAAAGTTCTTATGTCACGTTTGTCTGCATAGTGCTGTTCATGATTGTTTCCCAGTCGTCATTAAATATATTACATGAAACTAAGTCCGGATCCGCAGGACCTTTCCCTTTTTGTATTGCTTAGATTATAAATCTTGGTTTCCGACGAATAACAACTTAAAATTTAAGTCCAGTTAATGCTGGCCTCTGCACAAGAATGTAGCACCAAAATTCAAGCGTGACGTAATAAGTTTAAAAATAAGAAAATGCAACATAGAATAACTGTTTATAATTTATAATCCATTTGACAGTTTTCTAAGTAGCCGCTTCTCGTTCTCAAACTCATTACGTCACGATAGCGCAATCTTTTTTCTATTGTGAGGGCACAGCAAACATACTACATCTAGCAACATCGAGATTCGCGGAAATTTCCCAGCCGTTACAACTCGTAAAATCGAACGAACTCTTGAGGAAGTACGCGTAAAAGGACAGACAAATATTACAAGTTAATTTCTGAGTGCTATTAGAGTGTCCCCGCACAAGTTTTGGTTCAATTAAAACACATCAATCGGAGAGTCAATTAACCGATATTTGTTTAATTGAACAATTCGTTCAATTACAGGAAACCTTAGCGGGATCAGACAACCTAATAAATTAAAAAAAATCATATGTGCACTTTAAGTATATATTTAGTATTTATGTTAGTAATGATTTTCAGATAATATTTTTAACTTTAAACGGAAACAAAAGAACGAAAACAAGGCAATGTACTTATATATTTAGAGATCATAAATAAACTTAGGAACAAAAAAACATATAATATTATTGCCTATATGCAGCAATTGCGTTCACAGATTATTTTTTTTAACGAAAGCTTTTTGTGCAATTAACCGTAACCGAGAAAACCAATTAACCGGGTTCATTTAAGCGGGGAAACTTACATGTGAGTCAAATAAGCGGGAATATCAATTAACCGGGGGATACTCTATAAACATTATAATAAACAACTAATTAATATTAATTTGTGGCAACGGCCACCTACAATTGGTAACCCCTTTTTTATGAACAACAATCGTTGATTTTTTTTTTGTAATATGCAGACCTCTACATCAATGGAACTCCTACGGATGAGTTCTTCGACCCAATCGCTGCACAACCCCAACATCAACTTCTGCAAACGTCGAAAGGCCAGAGAAGCTAGAGCATTCACTGTTCTGGAATAAACAGTTGTAACTGAGATTTGTATCAATCGAGGAACAGTTCCAGCAGCGAAAAATTACATCCGTCTTGACTAGGTACCAGGCCGTAGTTGCTCGTCTCGACCAGAAAACACTTATTGTCGTTGAGAATATCATCCTTGACCCACCAGAAGTCAATAACTGTCCTGCAATCAAAGAGGTCCTGAAAAATAATTTTTTAATTTCGCATTAACGTCGCCTTAAGGAACTGCTCGGGAGTCGAACTAGGTGATCGAGGGCCGTGCGCGATTTTAATGGAAATCAAATATTTTTATTTTATATTTGACAATTTTTAATTGTTCCGAATTTAGTTCCAAAAAGTGCGAAAATGTAGTTGAGAGTGTCGAAATTAATCAAATTCGAATAGATTTTCTAAAAAAAATATATTTTTCCACAATTCATTAACACAAAACAAAAACAGTAAACGTATTTTTAATACGTGTTTATTAATTTGGTTTTCTAATACATATTTTGTACTTCTTATGTGTACACATAATTTAACAAATAAGTCATCCAGACTTAAAAAAGACTCTAAAAGCTATTACTCTCTTCTCTCTCTCTTTTGTCGCTCATTATCATGTATATTTGCATTAATACTATATACATATTACAAACAAAAATGGGATAATAACCTTTAAATTTCCGAACATAGTGAAAATATTCCTTTGAAACCAAGCGCTGTTGCAATCAAGAAAGTAATTTCAAAATGAAAAGGAATGTCGAATTGCGTAGCAGCGAACTGATACGAAAAAGAACACAAAGCGTGCCAAGCCAGCACAAGCGGCACGGTCCCTTCGAATTTCTTCGTCGTCCCCTCGTCTGCGTAAACCGGTTTAAACGGCAAAAATAGTCCACCATGAATTCACAATAACAAACTATCGTAGGTAAGCTAACCACAACTTGTGAAAACGGTTTTGTCATTAAATCCAGTTAAGCTACCAGAGGTTAAGGACAATATTAACCGTGTATTGAGAAAATTGCCCTTAATAACACTGGTTTTGTCACGAACCTTTTGATGTTTTTTGGTGTATTCTCATCAACAATATATAATAATTTTGATTCAATCACGTCCAGGTTCTGACAGCTCATATCTATATTATTAACTAAATTAATTTATACGACTGGATTCGTTTAACTTACATCATATATACGTTTGTTACATCGTAAACATGCCACGAAAGTGTTCTAACGACCCTGACAGTTTTTGTTATGTGTGTGGAGAAATAACTTTGAAATCTCAGCGTCGTTATTTTAACGTCATTTTTGAACGATGCTTGTTAGGAATCATGATAAATACTGGCCTCTGCATAAATGTTGGGTAACGTGTGGGAGATAGCTAATAGTTTGGGCTAAACAAAAACCCAGACATAAGACATTTGCTATGCCAACGATTTGGACCGAACCAAAGATAAATTCCCCAAACCGCGAGGCGAAAATTAAAGAGCGAGTATTTGTAGGTCCACAAGAAGAAAAACTGAATGATCAGGAAAAAGTCATTTGGAAATGTTTTGTGAACGTTGTCCAAAACTTTCTAGCAAACCATAAATCGGAAAATTATACGGACTTAATAAATGAACGTATAATGCCATATAAAGCTTTGGGGTGTAATATGTTCTTAAAAAACCTATGATGGACTCTTATCAGGATTTCTTTCTGGCAAATTTGGATGCTGTGAGTGACGAACAAGGCGAGAAGTTCCGTCGGAACATTTCCTTAATGAAGAAGAGCTATCAAGAGAATTGGAGCCCAGGAATGCCAGCAGATTTTTGTGGGAGAATTAAAAAAGACCTTCCAGAAGCCAAATGCTCACGAAAATCATGAATATTTTTTCTATATTAAGCAATAACTTCTCTAAATGTAGCTGATGTTTGTACTTTTTAAGGAAATATATGCTTTGATGTCACAAGAAAACTTGGCTTGTAAATTTTTTCCATTCACATATTCTTGCTTAGTGGCCCTAGTACATTCAAAATTTGATATAAGTATTCATGTGAATAAAATAGTGGAAATTTTGGTAACCAGTGCAATTAGTTACATCAAGTTTACTTCATAATGTATTTACGTATACACTGTTTTACGATCTTGCCGTTTTGCTGTTTGTCAACTAATTTCTTCCTCTCCTCGAAGTTAAATTTACTATTATTACAATATATACCCTGCAAGCCACCTATCGATTAAATCACCAGAGGTTTATGTTAAAGTGTTTATGAGTTTCTTAAGGCCTAATTGATAATTCTAACCGAAACTCTTGTGAACGAGTGATCGTTCATCCCTTTCTTATGCAAAGGGTTTATGAGCTGCACGGTGTTTTGTGTTTTCAGCACTAATTATTTCAATGTATTGGAGTTTCGGTAGCCGTTATGGCTTGATTATCTAATACAATACGTACATGCAGCGCTTACCGCTTCAGGTGACAACAATAAACTCCCTCTGTTTGCAAATAAGTTAGTCGAAGTTCAACCCCACCCATGTACCTGGAAATTTAACTGGTGCCAATGTCAGTCCCCCCGGCCAGCTCATATTTCACCGCGTTTCTCCAACAAACAACGACAAGAATACACCCACCCTGATCCTACTCCACGCTACAAACGGCAACAAGATATAAACGTAAGACGAAAGAACTCTCACACAATATTGGCCTATGTCGACCAATACACTAGATATTTTGCATCACTAAGATGCTGTATCCAATCGGACCACCTGCACCAATACGGGCTCATCGTGGACCTCAAACGGGGATGCATCTCAGACCCCTGCACAGCTCAGGCTCATACACCAACATTTCAATCATATCGATCACTGCTGTCAGCGAAAGTAACAAATTTACCTAAATTCTTAAGAACTTTCCTGAATTGTTGGGTAATCCGTCCACGCATCAACCAAACATGCAGACATGCCCTATATTCCGACCACGGAACCACCGTACGTACAGCGAGTCCGTCAGCTATGCCTCGAACGACTCAATATAGTCAAACAAGAATTCCAGCAGATGGTTGAGCTTGGCCAATTTCAAACAATTTCAGATCGCTACCCAATATCCTTTCTACATGACTACTTAGCGATGCTATCGAACAAACATCTCCTCCACAATCGATCTATGTAGTGCACTCCAGCACATCTGGGTAGCGAAGGAAAACATTGCCAAAGCTGCAGTAATCATCCCCTTCGGTCTCTATAAATTTGTTAGCAGTCGGGTTGTGCAA